ATCATTATCGTATCGATCCGTTTAAACTTTAATAGTAGTTCTCGGATTATGAATGTCAAAAGAATTGTTTTGTATCGCCTTATATTAAAAATATGTACATCTTAAAGTGTTCTTCAATTTTAATATGATAAATTAAACGCACGGCTACTTAAATAATGTTTAATTTTTCACTTACATCTTTTAATAATTAAAATATCTACTTAAATCTAATTTTGAAATAATTATGAGTAAATTTTGCATTTGACACCTTATATTGAATAGTTGAGTGGCAGATAACAATTTAATAACACTTTAAATCAATCATTTTTAATTACTCAAGGGTTCTTGATGAAAATGTTTAGAAGTATTTTTAGCTCATTGAACATTGTATAGGAAACTATAAAAAAACTTTTGGCATATATTTAGGCTTAATGATATGAAAATGGAAAAAGCTTTAATATAAAGCTTTTAATAAAATAGAACTCATTTACTGTAGTAATGTAAATTAAATGAATGTAATGTTAATTACAGGTTAAATATAAGTTCTTCTATTCAGTTCTCAAGTATTTAAGAAAGAAATTTGAAAAATTTCTTTCAAATTTTTTAGACCTTTACCCTAGACCTTTACCTATAGACTATTGTCTAGCCTGTAGACTAAACTATAAACCATCTTCTTATAGTCCGATTTGTTGGATACTCTTGGAAAGGTACTCGAAAAAGTTATTTATAATAGACTATTGTCTACCGTAGAAAGGGCTAAAGGTCTCTCGGATAATCAATATGGATTTCGAAAGGTACGCTCAACAATAGACACGGACCTAATACTGAGTCCCCCAGTTTTCAGTATTATGTCTGCTCCTCTGGAACATAATGTACAATGAAGTACTGGAATTAAAAATTCCCGAGGAGAAAAACATTATCGGCTTCGCCAACGATGTTGCAATCGTAGTATGCGCACGCTTCTTAGATGAAGTAGAATTGTATGCAAACGAGACCATACGGACTATTAAATCGTGGCTGTCGCAAGTAGGGTTGGAATTAGCCGATCACAAGGCAGAAGCTGTTTTAATCAGTAGCCGAAGAACAAAGGAGATAATAAATATACAAGTCGGCAGATAAAATATCAAATCGTCTACTTCAATTATATATCTGGGATTGATGATCGACTAGATACTTAACTTTAAAGACCATATGGACTACGCATGTAAAAAAGCAGCAGCAATAAACAATGCCCTTAGCAGAATTATGCCAAACACTGGAGGTCCGCGACAAAGTAGAACAGCCTTAATATCGAGAGTAACATCATCTGTACTACTATATGGATCCCCTATTTGGGCAGGACAGATTGGAAGTACATCTCGTAAAAACGTACTTTCACTATTTCGACAATGCTGCCTAAGAATATGTTGGGCTATAGAACCATTTCACTGGAAGCAATATGTGTAGTTGCTGGCATGATCCCAGTAGACCAAGCAGCCGACGAGGGTCATCTAGTGTATACTGCACGAAAATTGAATACGGAGGAAAGCTATCGCGACATAAAACTAATTGAGAGAAGGAAAACTATGTCGAATTGGCAAAGAAGGTGGGAGAACACTGTAAAAGGACGAGGGTCATCTAGTGTATACTGCACGAAAATTGAATACGGAGGAAAGCTATCGCGTCATAAAACTAATTGAGAGAAGGAAAACTATGTCGAATTGGCAAAGAAGGTGGGAGAACACTGTAAAAGGACGATGGACATTTAGACTAATTCCATCAATAAGAAAGTGGATAGAACGAAAGAACGGCGAAGTTAACTACGAACTTACTCAGTTCCTGACAGGCCATGGGGCCTCGACGACTCACCTGATTGCCCAACATGCTTATTTACTGAAGATGTTGAGCATGTTGTTTTTGTGTGTCCTAGGTTTGATGAAATTAGATGTACCTTTGCATCAAATGCTGGACAAAGCATAACCACCGAGAATATAGTGGATGTAATGCTGATTTCAGATGAGAAATGTCGACAAATATCAGATTTTATAACAAGTTTGAATTAAATGCTGCGCAGTGAGGAAAAAAGGAGAAAGCGTTTACGCTACCTCTGCAAGTTTGAATTAAATGCTGCACACTGAGCAAAAAAGGAGAAAGGAACAAAGAGTTGTGGTTCCATATGCAGAGGTAGCGTAAACGCTAACCATTCCTGCGAAGTAGTGCCTATGAACCGTTCCGCAGGAAATGTGGTTAGCGATGGGAAGGCGGTTTGGTGAGTAGGTGACGCAAATGGATTATATATATTATAATCCATATAACTATAGACTATAGACTAGACTATAGACTAGACTATAGACTAGACTATAGACTAAACTATAGACTAGACTATAGACTAGACTATAGACTAGACTATAGACTAGACTATAGACTAGACCATAGACTAGACCATAGACTAGACTATAGACTAGACTATAGACTAGACTGTAGACTAGACTATAGACTAGACTATAGACTAGACTATAGACTAGACTATAGACTAGACTATAGACTAGACTATAGACTAGACTATAGACTACACTATAGACTAGACTATAGACTAGACTATAGACTAGACTATAGACTAGACTATAGACTAGACTATAGACTAGACTATAGACTAGACTATAGACTAGACTATAGACTAGACTATAGACTAGACTATAGACTAGACTATAGACTAGACTATAGACTAGACTATAGACTAGACTATAGACTAGACTATAGACTAGACTATAGACTAGACTATAGACTAGACTATAGACTAGACTATAGACTAGACTATAGACTAGACTTAGACTAGACTATAGACTAGACTATAGACTAGACTATAGACTAGACTATAGACTAGACTATAGACTAGACTATAGACTAGACTATAGACTAGACTATAGACTAGACTATAGACTAGACTATAGACTAGACTATAGACTAGACTATAGACTAGACTATAGACTAGACTATAGACTAGACTATAGACTAGACTATAGACTAGACTATAGACTAGACTATAGACTAGACTATAGACTAGACTATAGACTAGACTATAGACTAGACTATAGACTAGACTATAGACTAGACTATAGACTAGACTATAGACTAGACTATAGACTAGACTATAGACTAGACTATAGACTAGACTATAGACTTGACTATAGACTAGACTATAGACTAGACTATAGACTAGACTATAGACTAGACTATAGACTAGAATATAGACTAGACTATAGACTAGACTATAGACTAGACTATAGACTAGACTATAGACTAGACTATAGACTAGACTATAGACTAGACTATAGACTAGACTATAGACTAGACTATAAACTAGACTATAGACTAGACTATAGACTAGACTATAGACTAGACTATAGACTAGACTATAGACTAGACTATAGACTAGACTATAGACTAGACTATAGACTAGACTATAGACTAGACTATAGACTAGACTATAGACTAGACTATAGACTAGACTATAGACTAGACTATAGACTAGACTATAGACTAGACTATAGAGTAGACTATAGACTAGACTCGACTATAGACTATAGACTAGACTAGACTATAGACTATAGACTAGACTATAGACTAGACTATAGACTAGACTATAGACTAGACTATAGACTAGACTATAGACTAGACTATAGACTAGACTATAGACTAGACTATAGACTAGACTATAGACTAGACTATAGACTAGACTATAGACTAGACTATAGATTAGACAATAAACTAGACTATATAGACTGCACTATGGACTAGACTATAGACTAGACATTAAACTAGAGTATAGACTGGACTATAGACTAGACTATAGACTAGACTATAGACTAGACTGTAGACTAGACTACAGACTAGACTATAGACTAGACTGTAGACTTGACTATAGATTAGACAATAAACTAGACTATATAGACTGCACTATGGACTAGACTATAGACTAGACATTAAACTAGAGTATAGACTAGACTATAGACTAGACTATAGACTAGACTGTAGACTAGACTGTAGACTGTAGACTAGACTACAGACTAGACTATAGACTAGACTATAGACTAGACTATAGACTAGACTATAGACTAGACTGTAGACTAGACTATAGACTAGACTATAGACTAGACACTAGACTAGACTATAGACTAGACTTTGGACTAGACGATAGACTAGAATATGGACTACACTATAGACTAGACTATAGACTAGACTATAGACTAGACTATAGACTAGACTATAGACTAGAATAAAGACTAGACTATAGACTAGACTATAGACTAGACTAGATTATAGTAGACTATAGACTAGACTATGGACTAGACTATAGACTAGACTATAAAATAGACTAGACTATAAAATAGACTAGACTATAGACTTGACTATAGATTAGACTATAGATTAGACAATAGACTGGACTATATAGACTGCACTATGGACTAGACTGTAGACTAGACATTAAACTAGTGTATAGACTGACTATAAACTAGGCTACCTATGGATGTTGTATACTAGACTATTGGCCACACTATAGACCACACCACAGACTACACTACAGACTACAGAATAGATAATAGACCGAACTATTGACCGGATTTTAGGATAGACAATAGACAAAACTATAGACTAAACATAAGACTAGGTTTTGGAGCAGACTATAGCACCCTATATACATTAATATTGGAAACAATTTAAGGAGGTTATCTGTATTAGAGTTAGTTGAAGCCGCAGTCTGATTTCAATGAAATTAAGTTCAAATTGTCCCCTGACTTTGAAGATCATACCTATTGATTTTTATATTTTTGTGACCTTTGACCGGACTATGTGTATAATAGCGACCATCGTGTCATATTTGGCCGTATCTCGAACGAAAATGCGTATTTACTGTGAATAACGTTTTGTATCAGACAACCAGTGTCACTAAAGTTTTCTACATCTTAGTAAAAAAAAATGTGAGTCAAAACTCCTGTTCAGATGACAAAATGCAAATGATATTAACAACAAAAACACAATTATTAGATTTTCTTTTGAATATTTTATATATTCGCATGCAAAGACAAATAAACACAGTGTAGTTTCGTTTAAGGTGTTATTTATGACTAGACTTAAACTAAGGTTAACTTAAAGAAAAACGTATGTAAACATTGTATGTGTATGCACCTTCATTTCCTTGTATTGGAAGAAAAAAAATACTAAGAAAAACCAAAAAAAGTAAAAAAATGTAATCATACAAAAATTCAAATAATTTTCTTAATCTTAATGTTGCCTCAGTGAAATTTTCGCAATGTTAAAGAAAGTTTAACGTTAAAGAGAAGAAATAAACTAAAATCGCATTATTACCATTGGATGGTATTGAGAATAATGGGCTCGGGCCAGACGGGAGCGGGACCAGGTATTGGAGCAGCACCACCGCCACCTCCAGCACCACCAGCTCCTCCGCCACCAATACAGCCACCTTTGCCTCCCTTACCACCCTTACCACCTCTGCCGCCTATTGAGCCATCGGGACCGCTTGGACCATCCAAACCATCGGCACCATCAGCACCATCGGGTCCGCAAATATAACCGACAGAAGGACCTCCGTTGCCGCCATTACTACCACTTATGCCTGAAATGTAGACGCCACCAGCGGCACCACCTGAACCACCACCACCAGCTCCGCCACCACCTAAGGGACCGGCACCTGCACCACCACCTCCTCCACCACTACCGCCAGCAGCAGCACCACCTGCACCTCCTCCGCCGCCACCAGCGGGTCCAGAGCCTCCAGAACCACCAGCGCCTCCATTTGCACCACCGGCTGAACCAGCTCCAGCTATTCCTATGGCTAGACCACCAGCACCTCCGGGTGCGCCACCACCTCCTGGAGCACCGGGGGCACCTGGTAAACCGGGAACAGCAGGCACTACAGAAACTACTACACCAGAACCAGCAGCAGCTTGAATTGCTGCGGCTTGAGCATTGGCAACAGCTTGAGCATTGGCAGCAGCTTGAGCATTAGCAGCAGCTTGAGCACTGGCAGCAGCTTGTGCATTTGCAACAGCTTGAGCATTGGCAGCAGCTTGTGCATTAGCAGCAGCTTGGGCATTAGCAGCAGCTATTGCTTGAGCATTGGCAGCAGCGGCAGCTTGGGCATTAGCAGCAGCAGCTACTTGAGCATTAGCAGCTGCTTGAGCTTGAGCATTGGCGGCAGCAGCAATCTGAGCATTGGCAGCCGTTTGGGCGTTAGCATTAGCAGCTGCAGCAGCCTGAGCATTAGCAGCAGCGGCAGCTTGAGCATTTGCCAAGGCTTGAGCATTAGCAGCAGCGGCAGCTTCAGCATTTGCAGCAGCTGCGGCATCAACAGCAGCCTGAGCATTAGCAGCGGCTTGAGCATTAGCAGCAGCAGCTTGAGCATTAGCGGCGGATGCTGCATTTGCGGCAGCTTCAGCATTAGCAGCTGCTAGATTTTGAGCGGCAGCTTGTGCATTAGCAATAGCAGCAGCATTTGCAGCAGCTTGAGCTTCAGCAGCAGCAGCTATTTTATCGTTCACAGCTTGGGCGGCATCTGCAATAGCCTGAGCATTTACACCAGCAGCGTCAGCAGCAACTTGAGCATTACTAACAGCTTGGTTGGCAGCTTCTTGTACACTATTGACAACATTTTGAGCTGCTTCAGCGGCGGCTGCCACAGCAGCGGAGCCATCTCCAGAGGTAGCCACTACCACATTTGGTTGATGCAAAACAACATATGGTGGTAGTACGCCGCCTATTGGTATAATACTAGCTTTGGCATAACCGCCATAAATGGCCACAACGACAACAACGGTTAATAATAAAACCTAAAAATTTATTGAAAACCCCGAATTAAAAAACACGCAATCCTTTATGATGTTATCATACTAATTCTTACCGATGATGTCCTCATTTTGTAGAATGCATTGATATCTTTTCTATTTCTTCTTTAATTATTTATTCAGTTTTAATTTATTAAAAAATCCACGGCTTTGATTATTTAATCACGTTGTTACATGCACTTGGAGATCAATAAAACTGTGAGTTCTTTAAGAAATTGTTAAGCAATTTATAGAATCCAAGGTTGTACCAGAAGCTAATAAAAAGCTGTCATATAGACTGATATCTTTACAATACAAGTTACGAGTATTTTAACTCGTATATTGAAATTAAAATTGTTTTTGTTTTGTCAGTTGTTATTGTATTTTCCAAACAATAGAGAACGAAATTAGTTTAATTTACTCTTAACACGTTGTTGCAATAATATTCCATGGTAGTGTAGGTAGAACTACATTTGATTAGGAAGGTATTTTAAATAAAATAAACAAATTGGATTAATAAATGATTTATTATTATTATTTGTCGTTGTTGTTATTTTACATGTTCTACCTTCTAAGTAGATTACAAATTAAACCGTTTTAAATGAAAAGTAATTGTTGTAAACTGGTTTTAAGATAATATACATATATGTCTTATTTGATTGGAAGAGATTTGCTTTGAAATTAGAACGAATTTAAATTTTCGGGATGTTGATATACTAAAATGTAAAATATTCCCCTAACTTATCTTATCGCTCTAAGTTTAGTAAATATGCTCGACTGTTATGATACCCTTAAGTAGGCTATACTAAGGTTCAGATAATTTGGTGACATTTTAGAAATTCTACAAGTTGAAATAATTTAAAAACTAACTCTATTATAATAAATGTTTTCATCTGTAGTTCAGCATGAAACATAGTCTAAACAAATATTCGTTATTTTTTTATGTTATGCTAGAGTTTGCCAGATTCTTGTACTTTGGAAGCTGTCTTAGATCACTTAGTAGGTATTTGTATCCTACACCAATATAGTCGACAAGGTCTAATAAGTTTGTGCTGATGTTTATAACACCCAAAAATAATAAGCTTTTGTCCACTATAAAATATACCATTCGACTAAGAATCACTTTCAGTTATGTTATATCTGTCTGTCCGTTGTGTGGTTATGAAATCATGTTCGTAAGATACAGGTCGTACATTTAATTAAATTTGGCACATACCTCTTTTTTGCCATAAGGACGAAGACTATTGAAAATGGTTAAAACTTATCAAATAAAAAACCATTTTTTCAAGTGTTCATATAAATTTCAATGTTGCCAGTATAAAATTTGAGGATTCTTGCCTATCTAGTCTATAGTCCTAGTCTATAGTCTAGTCTATAGTCTAGTCTATAGTCTAGTCTATAGTCTAGTCTATAGTCTAGTCTATAGTCTAGTCTATAGTCTAGTCCTATAGTCTAGTCTATAGTCTAGTCTATAGTCTAGTCTATAGTCTAGTCTATAGTCTAGTCTATAGTCTAGTCTATAGTCTAGTCTATAGTCTAGTCTATAGTCTAGTCTATAGTCTAGTCTATAGTCTAGTTCTATAGTCTAGTCTATAGTCTAGTCTATAGTCTAGTCTATAGTCTAGTCTATAGTCTAGTCTATAGTCTAGTCTATAGTCTAGTCTATAGTCTAGTCTATAGTCTAGTCTATAGTCTAGTCTATAGTCTAGTCTATAGTCTAGTCTATAGTCTAGTCTATAGTCTAGTCTATAGTCTAGTCTAATCGAGTCTAGTCTATATAGTCTAGTCTATAGTCTAGTCTAAGCTATAGTCTAGTCTATAGTCTAGCTATAGTCTAGTCTATAGTCTAGTCTATAGTCTAGTCTATAGTCTAGTCTATAGTCTAGTCTATAGTCTAGTCTATAGTCTAGTCTATAGTCTAGTCTATAGTCTAGTCTATAGTCTAGTCTATAGTCTAGTCTATAGTCTAGTCTATAGTCTAGTCTATAGTCTAGTCTATAGTCTAGTCTACAATCTAGTCTATAGTCTAGAGTATAGTCTAGTCTATAGTCTAGAGTATAGTCTAGACTA